CCCCCGGGGGGGGGGGGGGAACATGTCGAAGTAATGCCGGCACATCCGGGCTTCTCATTCGAAAACCTTAATGCACCTTGATGCACACGCAGGAGGCACCAGCACAAGCGTCAAGAGCGAAGTCGCGTCCGTCGCCAATCCCGCTACCAACGCCAATACACCACCACGTACGCGACTAACAGTACTGATGTTACCACAGACACAACAGCAAAAGACAGGAGCAGAGTTCACGACTACATATGCACACGTTGAGTACCTTGTTGGCATCTCCACCGAAGTGTGTGGCAACTCCGTACGCGTCCTGATTGGCCTTCTCGCGATCATCGGGATAGAACCCTCTTTGAGATACGTATGCGTATCTGCAGGGCGAAGCAACACGAGGGAGGCCGGGCGAGTGCGCGCGCGCAACATCGGGGGAATGGCGCAAGACGCCAACTTTTATCGAGGTAACCAGGCAGGTACACTAAAAAAAAAATATATACATATATACATCGGTTCCATTACCTGAGGGATGCTGAGGGATGTATGCCTCGGCATGTCTAGCCATATGGAAATGCCTAGCGTAAGCATGCCTCGGACGAAATAGGGCTGCTGGCAACAACATTTCCGTGGCCTCTCGCTTGTACAACCGACGTCAACTGTCGCACGGCAGCAGAACCGTACCTTACCATGTTTCCCTCTTTCCATGAAGTTCTTACCATTCCAACACCAACAACCGTGGGACATATTTGTCTACACGTACCTACACACAAATGAGCTTCAATGAAAAGGCGTTTCGAGTCTCCGGCGTAAACACACCTGAGCCAGCAACCTGCGATTTGCACCGTTTCGCTCTGTGGTGGAGCATCGACACGCTCTTCGATCTCCCTCGTCGTGAGCGGCTGGAATTTCACGTTCGAACGCCACAAGTTTTAACACCGAAAAATGGGGGGGTGACGACAAAACGGGGGGGCAGGGGTGTCATAGCCACACAGCATAAGCCTGCAAGATCGGGTCGTTTGAGCGGTACAAGTAGACGCAACGCGTGCCACCGGCAGGCCAACTCAGGGGGGTAGCACTGGTTGCGGGGACATGCCTGTCGGGGGACAGTTCCGCTTCCGTCACAAAAGCATTCCAACCCAAGGAAAAACCAACGCCAACGCCATCACCACAACAATATCGGGTCTCGACCAGACTACCACCGATTGACAATTTAACGCGCGTGAAATAAACAATTGAGTTCAAGTTCGCGTTGGGGCCGTTCCTGGACCGTTCCAGGACCGTTGCTCACCTGCCCACTGCCAGATCCGTCGCCGTTCGCCAAGGGATCATCTACCTGCTTCTTCGAGCGCGCACATCCCACTAGTGTGCGGCCAAGTTGCGGCCGTTCGAAGAACACCGGGAAGGAATCAACATGCCGACAAGGCCAGCAAAAGACACGAGGGATTGGAACAGGGGGGGGGGCGTACTCTTATGTTTGCATGCCTTAGCGGTTTGACCATTGACCACGCGTCCTCGAGTGGACGGAGTATTGTTCCCACAGGACCGATCACCGATGGCCAATCGTTCCTTCTACTTTGCCAAAGGTAGCTCAAAAATGTCTTCCCTAGTCTGGCTATCCTAACGATATCCCTTCCCGCCTTTTCAACCCACCTCNTATACCCTTGGATTCTTTCCTCAGATTCTGTTCTTCTCTCTCGGCACAAGCAACAGATATCTTCTGCTTGAACCCCTGTAGACCCTCCGTTTCCAGCGTTTCATTTTCGTCGATGTCGAGCCCCTTCCATACGTCCTCCACAACCTTGACCCATTCCGTGGGTTGTCTACCCCTCTTTTTGTTTGCCCACTTCGCCTCCCATACAATTCTCGGCAACCTCTCCTCTCCCATCCCACACATGCGATACTGCCAGGTCAGCTTCCTCGCGTCTCTTCCCGACCGTAGGGATTGGATCCCCAATTCTGCCCTCACGGCTGCATTACTTGTGCGCGTGGAGCATCCTAGGATGATTTTCGCTGCTTTCATCTGCGCCGCCTCGAGTTCTTTCACTACCTTCTTATTTCCTTCCCATACTTCTCCGGCGTACTCTAGCGGCGGTACGATTACGCTCTTCAAAACCATCAATTTGATGCGTGTATCGAGGTGCCGGTTTGCGAGTATTGGGTGCAGCTTCCCTGCTCCTGCTTTGCCCTTTTTCCGCTACCTTGGACATGCGAGCATTCCACGAGCAGTCTTTTGCGATCTCTACTCCGAGGTATGTGTACTGGTCCACTACTGCAATCTCCTCGATCCCTCACTTCCATCTATGTTCTACTGGTTCCTCCTTGTTCTCGTTGCATTCCATGACGGCACTCTCCTTCACGTTGGCAGACAATCTCCACTTATCAGTTAACTTATTCGTCGCATCAATTTGCAGTTGCAGTCCCTCAGGGGTGTCCGACACACCGACACAATCATCCGCAAACAGCATTCCTGAAACCGACGTTTCCGTGTCCCCTTCTTTTACTCCCTTCCGGACTGCCTCTACGACTTCCACCAGATCGGGGAGGAGGAAAATTGCAACGGGACTCGCATTAGCAACTTCAGTAAATGTGGCGCGCAACTGCAAGGCAACCCCCCCCGACAATACGCTTGGCAAACCCTTTCAAAACGAGGAACCAGAATATGATGATCGAAGCTCGCAAACGGTCTCAACAGACGAAGAATGAACGAGAGGCAACCCGGGCAATGCATGGCTCTTCAGATTTCGTTAACGCCAACACTTTGGAAGGCTGACTAGGTATGGTACGGGGTGGGGTGAGGTGCTGATTGCTTCGGTCGAAGCCGACAAAACAAGAAGTCCGCACGTACGCATAGCCTGGCGTATGCCTTCGGTTTGGGCTGCAGCGGTAGTCGTGCCTGCTGGTAGGACAACATATTTCATATTTATGGTGCCAAGCAGAACGTAAAAACACCCAGTGGGAGAAAATAGTAAGGAAACTTCCCCGCTTGAAGGACACTCGTTTCGGAGCAAATCATTCAGCGGCTTTCAAGCGGAGACGATTGCCGTGTAGAGCATGTAGCAGACGCACGGACTCGGGCCGAACGGGGTTTATACGTACATGGGAGAGACGACGCAGCGCAGAGCGAGTAGGGCAAAACGCAAGACACTGGTGGGCGAGGTACACGAAACCTCGTACGGAGAACACTGTTTGTCTCCAAGGTTGGACTTTGCGGCGTTTTCCATGGTTTGTACAGAGCACGGTCAGGGCCGTTGGCGCCAGCGCTTTCTCAGTGCGCCGGCACTTCATTTTTCACATGATCAAAACTGCTGTACGGCCGACACGTGCCCCGACGGTGGCACATTATTATCTAATCATTTATTATTATATTAGACAACCGCACACAAATGGAGAAGAGGCAAAGAACAGGAGACTCCGGCCATGAACGGGGTGCCCCTAGCTGCCGTACCACTTCTCGCTCATATCATACGCCGTTGAAACCATTGCATTCATACATATGTATGTACTGCAGTGTGCATACGTGCATCACAAACACAAATTCCACCAGTGATCCCTCCGGAGTGGGCTCATGAGGGCATAGTGCCATTGAGGGGTGATGCAAGAAGAAAACAAGAGCGGGCAGCAGGACCAGCCCGCAGCTGGCAGCTGCCAGTTGGTCATGACGTTTCCGAAGCTCGATAGCTGGTACAGCTGACGGGTTTTTGACTCGAAGAGCCCAGTGAACCTCAACAAACTAAAAAAGAAAAAATACAAATATATTCATTGCGAATCTACCACGACGGACTCTCAACTGTGAAAGAGATGGATTTGTCGTGTTCTTTGCAAGAAAAAAAGCAATCTGTTTAACAGCCTCGCGGCGATAGTTTTCATTATTACTCTACACATCAAAATCAGTGCACCAGCGAAGTCTGTGGCAAAAAGCACGCTCGCCTAGTTGCGTACATGAAATATGACCACCACACGCCGTAAAGCGACAAAGCTGGGGACTTGCCAGCAGATCGCTTCTGGATGACACTTGGTCGTGGAGGTCCCTGTTTATTGCCAGGGTGTGCGCTGAGATTTCACCGGCACGAAACCGGACACTGAAGCCCTTCCGTAGAGTACCTAAATAGTGCCAAACCTGCACTCCTCAAGTGCCAAACCCGCCCTATTTCCGAACTGTTTGGTTGTAGAGTGCAGCGCTTACGCTTTGCGGGGCCGACAGAGCAAATGGTGAGACTATGGCGTCGGCGGCGTGGGCAGACTTTTACACGATACACTACCCTGTGGAACGCACAGATTTGGCTGTTGGAAGGTAAATGGACGGAACAGACATGTGGCGCCGTTTTGCTCTACCCGCCTCAGGACACGTACCGCGAACCGTTCGTTTCGGGATCGTTTTCATTGCCCTACCTTTGTTTTGCGTGTGTGTTTCTTATTAGCATCAGCCGCGCTAACCGGCTGACCAATGAAAATATGTCAGTCTCGGTGCGGGTGAAAACTGTGTCCGTGTGTGCGTGAGAAAACCGGTACACTATTGTGGGGTTCCGTGGTGCCCGAACCGGCACTATAGTGGGCAGCCCTCAAAAGTGCCGGTCTGGCACTAATCAGGGCTCTGCCTGTGCGCCGAGATTTGACCGGCACTGAACACGGACCGCTACTGCTGTTCGGAAAAAAAAAAGAAGACACATACCACCAAGCGATCCTAACAAAATGGTACTGCTTACAAACGCACACCTGTTACCTGGTACAACGCATGTGCACAACACGCGAAAGGAGATGCACGGAGGCCGCGAGAGCTACTGTACAGCAAGCGCATCCGCGGCTTGGAACTTCTGCGTTGCTGACGGAACAATGGCCGGAGAAATATGCTCTTGCTCCCGGTCTACCCTCCTCTTTTGGTCTAATAGAGGATGGTGCCCTCGGAGATCTTTCTCGCCTACATGCATCATGCTTTTTACAAAAGTATGAGTTGACAAACATGAGACATTCGACGCTCTACAATAGTTTGCTTGCGCTCATTGCGTATTCACCTCGGGTTCTATGCGTATGGTGCTCAATACCCTTACGTTAGGTTAAGCGAGGGCCGAAGCAGTAAGCGGTCTACACTACAACATACTTCCCGAACAAGATGAAGACTTGAGTGAGGCTATCAATAAATATGTGATGTAAGGGGTAGCACGTGGTTGGATATCACTCCCAGCGATCTGTTTGGCACTATGAGCGTGTCGCACAGCTCGACAATTGCGAAAACCGCACACTCAACACCAGCTGGTTGCCCAACATGCAACATGCAGCTCTCCACTTCCAAGCTAACGCATCGGACGAGGAGCGTCGAGTGAGGCTGCAGTATAAATACATGCAAAGGGGTGGCACATGGTTGGATATCACTCCGAGGGATCTGTTTGGTACCACGAAGGTGTTGCACAACTTGAAAATTACAAAATTACGTAAGCCACACGCTCAACACCAGCTGGCTGCCCAACACGCAACAAACAGCTCTCCACTTTCAAGGTACCGCATCGGACGAGGAGCGACTGCGCGCTCTGTCAATAGCTATTCGGATAGACCCACCGTGATTAGACTACAAACGAGCCTGTTTTTTGCGGATGAACGTGTTCGGCGGAGGAGCAAATGGACGTGTGTTCCATATGCAAACAAGGCTCGATACACTCACGAAGGAGTGAGTCCCCGAGGAACAACCAACTGCATGAGGAGGGTCCGGATAGTGGCACAGAGTACTGACATTCCTACGTCTCGGTGGTATGCATGAGTATATTGACATCAAACAGCTGGTTGTCCGAATGTGTAGTGAGTTTCGGCAACGTGAGTAAATTTCTGTCGGTGTGCAGTGGGGAGTGGTGCTATCTGTCGTGCTTGTTTACTGCTGCTGTTCCACACTGCTGCATGTATTCCGCACCCCGTATATGTTAATGTTCACACTACAAACGCAACGCGTTCGGAACAAGAGCACCCTGACGGCAGCAACTCAATCCTCGAATGCCTGCACTCACTTGCACACGCCGCCCGGCGGGAAGCAACACTTGCCGCGCGGAAGCCCGATTGATCCTGTTCGTTACTGCTGCACGCCCCCAGACTCACTTGCCCTTTCTTGCCTCCGGACGGCAAAAGCGTGCGCAACAAACGAGCTCAGGGTTCAAATACAGGACGGGATAGTTCTCCGGTGTTTTTCTCCTGTGCGACCGCGCCCGCCGCCCGTCCCTCAACTCCCAAGCTTCTCCTAACGGTTCTGCTTGGTCTCAAGCCCTTGATAGCTTGATAGAGCTGCAGATTGGTCGCAGCACGACGGGTCTGGGGGCCCTCTAACTGGGAACGAGTCGTCCTGGTTCCAGGGGGTGCCACAGCCAGGATCGATTTAATTTTTTTGAAAATTACACGATGAGCGCTCACGACTCGCGACAAATGTTCCTGGGGTGGCGAGGAGCATGCACTGCTAACAATGACTGGACAATACCGCGAGAACACTACATCTGTGATTTCAAAGCCAGACGCGGAGCCTGTGATAACCGGCAAAGTAAAAATTGATGGGCAGGCTTCCCAGGGAACGGTAAGTTGGTCGTTTTTCGTCAAACCCCCCTTTGCAACTGGTGGTACGCTTCGTAGTGTACCGAAGGACAACCTCAGTTCGCGTGGAGCACCAGCAACAACGTGCCACGCACAGGTTTATCTTCATGTAGCGTGGCAGAATTCCACACCTCCCGCCATGTCTCAATTGTTGTATGTATTGTCGTCCCATCTAGGCACAGCAGAGTGTTCACGTCTACATGTATGTTTTTTTTTTTCTCCCGTCGTTGGATTCTGTCGTCTGGCCCCCTCTGGCCCTTATCCTCCATCCTTGTACTAATAGCTAGATGACCCCACCGGGGTCACACAGGAGGGGAAGGTTGGACCCCCTCCTGCGGTTCCTGCCTGAGATATTTTTATCGCGAGAAGGGTACAGCAATCCCTTCCCTCGCGACTTATGAAGTCGATCAAGTTTACTACTGCTGCAACAACGGGCTTTGCAGAGCATGGCTTCCAACAGTCACCAGTGTCGCCCCGGTGGTCTATTGGGTAACTTAGCGGTCTACTAAGGGCCAGGTCCTGGGTTCGATTCCCGGCAGAGTGAGTTCTTTTGTCACGAAATCGATCCTGGTCTAGGATGAAAGCAACGCGCTGCAAAGCTCGATGTTAGCAAACCATAATCGACTTCGAAAGTCGCGAGGGAAGGGATTGCTGTACCCTTCTCGCGATTAAAATACCTCAGGCAGGAACCGCAGGAGGTGGTCCAGCCCCCCCCTCCTGTGTGACCCCGGTTGGGTCGTCTAGCTAGTAGAAGTGGAGGATAGGGGCCAGAGGGGCAGACGACAGAGTCCAACGATGGGAGAAAAAAAAAAGGAAGAAAAATCTCTCTCTGTAGGGACTCGAACCGTGACCTGGCCCTTACCAGGCTGCGAGGCTGCCCACTAGACCACCGGGGCGACCGGCTAGTACTGTATGCGTAACGCCCCGAAACGCAGCGCGAAACACCCATAGGGTGATGAACACGAACTTGATTTTATTTTTCACCCATTCCCCGCCCCCCCGGTGTTTGCCATCAGGGTTGGGTTTCCGTCGCTTGGCAACGACGTTGCAAAACAAGCCCCCCCATCGGTGTTTGCCATCGGGGTTGGGTTTTCGTCGCTTGGCAACGACGTTGTAAAACAAGCCAATTCACTTCGTGAACTCGGCAACCAGGTTACCGTGTTTTTTTTTTTCCTCTGTTTTTTTTGGCGGTAACCATAATGGTGGTCGAGTAGATCAGGGGTGGAGAACCCTCACCCCGCGCAAGGGGGATGATCGCACCACGTTGTGTAAAAATGGTCAAGCACCCTCGAGGCAATTACACAGTGCTTGTAACTGTTTCTGGAAGTGAAAGCACCAGAAAATAAATTAAGTCATACACAGCTGTCATCCGTACGCAAGGAAGTAAGCACAAGATGCCGAACACCCTTACCAGGATGCAGCGCACTCTTCATGCGACTCGCCGAATGCCTCACGGCGCTTTGCGCTTGGTGATGTGAGAGCCTGGTCCGGTGAGAACNTAGATGGAAGTGGGGGATCGAGGAGATTGCAGTAGTGGACCAGTACACATACCTCGGAGTAGAGATCGCAAAAGACTGCTCGTGGAATGCACGCTTGTCCAAGGTAGCGGAAAAGGGCAAAGCACGAGCAGGGAAGCTGCACCCAATACTCGCAAACCGGCACCTCGATACACGCATCAAATTGCAGTTTTGAAGAGCGTAATCGTACCGCCGCTAGAGTACGCCGGAGAAGTATGGGAAGGAAATAAGAAGGTGGTGAACGAACTCGAGGCGGCGCAGACGGAAGCAGCGAAAATCATCCTTGGATGCTCCAAGCGCACAATTAATGCAGCCGTGAGGGCAGAATTGGGGTACGGTCGGGAAGAGACGCGAGGAAGCTGACATTACAGTATAGCATGTGATCGCATGTGCGGGATGGGAGAGGAGA